CATCACATGCTACACATCGATTATCATAAGAATAAACTGGTACACCATATCCTTCCTCACACTGACCACAGAGCCTTCCTGTCCTCTTTAACGGCTTACAAAAAAACTCGTCCAGTTCCTGGAGAGTTGATGGTAGCTTGTAGTAGCCATCTTGCTCCATTTGATGTTTATTGTGACCAAAAAACTGCCAAGGACCAACGACACCCATACCAAGTTCAGTGTCGTAAGTCATACACCAACCAGTCATTATCTTAGCAGAAGATATGATCTTGTTGCATATGACAACATTTGATGGATACTTACCACAAACGCAATCCATTCCTTTAATATTGGATTCCTTAGATACAGTGTAGTAACCAGGAGGACAATGTTGTATATTAAACTTTAATTCGGTGTAAACAACTCTTGGCTCTGATGTTTCAATAGCGACAGTAATGATTTGATCAGGGACAGCATAAATGGTAGTATTACCTCCAGCAATGTATTGAGAACTAGAATCAACCGATGAATTGCCCTCAATAACAAAAGCGGACACAACAAACTTGCTTGTGATATCTTTACCATAATCATCAACAAGTCTGATGGGCAGGGGGAAAGGAAAACCAGGAAATACATTAATGCTTAGACTAGGCTTTGTCTTTTGTATTGTAGCAGGTGAAGTGAAGACTTGTCTACTGCAAGTACTGCCCTCGTAGTACCAGTTGCTCCAACAGAAAGGTGGAGCTGTTGAAGAATTGACCAGTTCATTTTCAGCACAGGAAAGGACAGAGGTGGAAAATATTGCGTTTTCTTTATGATCAGCCATGTTCCCAGTAAAGTTAAAGAAACTTGTTTCATTATATTTTACGGCACATTGGACACCAGTCATTGGCAGTGCATAATTATCAAAATAGTTTGATATATAGATTGCGCCTCCTTTATCATTGGCAGAATTGCCTTCAAATGTCACATTTGATCTACCCTGTACCACTAAGCTGGCTTGGTTTAGCAGTGCTAGTCCTCCACCAAGCTTACCAATGTTTCCTTTAAAAGTAACAATAGTATCAGGCAGTATTGTTACCTGTGCTCCTGACATGACAATCCCAGTCCCCATGCTGTCTCTAATTTTAGCATAAGAAGGTCCTAGCTGAAGGGACATCTTGTTGCTGTAGATAGTTCCCTGCCCGACAGTGACATTACTTTTATTTGTGATGAAGCTGTTAGTGATGGTAAGTTGGAGTATAGGCATCAGTAGATAGCCTGATTCTTGTCCTGGGAGGTCAGAGAGATGAATTGTTGAGCCTACTTGTGCCCTATTGAACTGCATTAGAGTATTAATCATGATGAACGTGTTTGTGAGAGCTATCTCTGTTGATTGTCTTTTTGCAGATACGCTCATTGCTCCTCCGGCAAATGCGACATTCTTTGATATTTCATTGCTATCAATAGTCACGCTGTTGTGGCCAGCTATTGGACTTTGCGGATTAGGCAGGAATTGGAAGTTAAGGGACCCAATGCATTTGTACTTGATGTTGATACCTGAAGTGCTGTTGTAACACTTGTGCCCATACACCTTGTCATTATACAGTAAAACTCTATTGTGATTTGCATCACCAACAAATGCTATATACATGCATGATCCAATCATAGCATGGTTGCCATTTAAGTACAGGCTTGCGATGTAAAGACTGTTATAGGCTGTGTGGTATATGACTGCTATTGCTCCTCCTCTAGTGTAACCTTCTCCAATGAGTCTATTAGAGGAGAGCATGCATCCAAAGATAACGACATCAGAGCTAGTCTTTTTCTGCAATATGTAAATACTGCCTCCTCCAATTAGCTCATCAGTCTCAGTGGTAATTGGTACTTGGGCCTCTGAGAACAAAGTATTGTTGATTTGTATGGTTCCAGCACAGTCCAGTAGCTTCAATGCAGTACCTTTAGACTCTGAAAACGTGACGTATAAAATTGTAATGTTAGTGACATTTTCGAATAAAAATACAGCAGGCCAAGAGACAAGGCGAAGAGTAATGGTGGTGAAGTTGAAGCCGCATTTCCCGAGGAGGATTTTATCAATGTATATATCAGTGCTGTTAAGGAAGTATAGTCCTTCAGGTTGTAGACACTGAATGTAAGTTTTTGTTTCCGATATGAGAGAAAACCCAGACAAGTTTTTCAATTCAAAACTCTTTGTAAGATTTTCGATGCTTTCTAAAAGTAAGATGGTTACATTCTCAGTGTAGGTGCCATTTTCTACCGGTTTCAAAGCATCCATCAGGGTAGTGAAGATGTCTGCATCTGAAGAATTCTGTTGATCTCTTCTAACTTGAAGCACAACTCCATGAGTGTAAGGAGCAAGAGCAAGGAAGACAAGTAATACGAGGTGATACATTGTAGCTCCTCTTTCCCCTTTCTCTGTGTATCTAATCTCCTAATACTATGATGACTGGGTTTTATTATGGTTTCAATGGGGTGTGATTGTTATTTCAACTTCTGATGAAATGTGCTCATGTCATAAAAACAACACTGTAAGTTTTGAAAGCATCGAATTTGCTTCTAAGCAATAAACAAGGGAAATATCAACAGTCATTGCCATCTGGGCAGTGGCAGTCCCCTATCAAATTACCCACGTGTATGCACGTGCTTAGTATTAATAACCACACCCCCTAAATTACCCAAGTTTTCATGAAAAACAATGACTTTTTATAATGTAAATTTGTTCATGATTAAATAAAAAACATACACGACACTGTCTACACAAATAATGATCAGTTAATATTCTAAGCTCTCTCTCCACGGATGCGGCGAGCTAGCTGAATGTCCTTGGGCATGATGGTCACTCTCTTGGCATGGATAGCACACAAGTTGGTGTCCTCAAAGAGACCGACAAGGTAAGCCTCACTGGCCTCCTGAAGAGCAGCAACAGCAGAGCTCTGGAACCTGAGGTCAGTCTTAAAGTCCTGAGCAATCTCACGGACCAGCCTCTGGAAGGGAAGCTTCCTGATGAGGAGCTCAGTTGACTTCTGGTAGCGACGGATCTCACGGAGAGCTACGGTACCAGGACGGTAACGATGAGGCTTCTTGACTCCTCCAGTAGCTGGGGCACTCTTACGAGCAGCTTTGGTGGCTAGCTGTTTCCTTGGAGCCTTTCCACCAGTGGATTTACGAGCAGTTTGCTTTGTACGGGCCATTATCTCCTTTCAAGTTCTTCCTTTAGTTTTTAGTGATTTGGACCAGATGACAGAACAGATGACAGGTGAGAAATGATTAATGATTTTATAGAGAAGATTCCCCGCGCAAACTTGTGTACTAGTGAGTGATTGGTCAAATGTCAAGTGACATGTCATGTGACTCATTCATGAATATGCAAATATAAAAGTGATCCAGTATGCAGCTGTATGCTAGACTAAGTCTAACACCCACCCATATATAATATGCTTTAAACAATTTTGATAATTTGCAGCAAATGTCATAATTGTGCAAAAGCTAAAAAGATAGAATAAAACTTTGTGCAGTTTACTGACAGGAGCAGGAGACATGTAATTCTAATACATGCCTGCAAAAAAAAGTTCCAATTTCACTCTTGTTTCCACCCAATAGCATTTATATAAAGCTTGGACAAAATTAAGTTTTTTTTAATGAAATAAAATATCTAACATTAATAATCATCTACATTTCTGGTATAATAGTTAGTACAATGTCCGTGCATTTGTGTGTATGCTGCAGTCATCTTGGCCTCTCTCATCCAGACTTGAATAGAAGTATGGCAACTTGCCCGAGATAAAAGTAAATGAAGTTTTTCGTCTCGTGTGTCACATAAGAACCAAAGTTTCTTCCTACAATGCAGTGCCAGGTTGGGTTGTACTTCTTGTCAAACTCTTTCTTTATATAGGCAGCAATGTCCTTTTCAATGTTAAATTTCTCCATGGCTTGAGTTGCAATCTGAAAAACATTAATATGAACTATAAAATTACACATTTAGCATTGCTGTTTTGGAGTGAAACCCAACTTCATTTTGAAATATGCATGTATATAGCTGTTTTCTACTTATTCCTCACCTCTACAGCATCTTGCTGCATGTCCTCAGACATGTCTGCATTTTTTATAACTGCTTTTCGGTCAGACATTTTCCTATGGTCTACTCTAAAAGAGAAAGGTGAGGAGCAAAAATGGTTTCAGAAAGTTTGTTAATCTGTCGCTATCGAGGTGTGTCCCAATAACAAATACTGCAATCTGATTGGTCCATAGGAATTCTTTGCCAGAATCCTATGACAAAGCAGGAAATAAAAATAGCCACGCCCTTTTTATGTGGGCGTTAAGATTTTGAGCCACACCTTTTAAAATGGCGACCGAGAGCATGCCAAGTCTTGATCCAAACTGTAATCCGCTCAAAGAGAAATATGACAATTGTTTTAACGTCTGGTTCAAGACTTCATTTATAAAGGAAGGGAAAACCAGCCACGAGGAGTCATGTGGAGATTTTTTTCAAGTTTATCAGGAGTGTTTACAAGTTGGTGTGCAAATTTAATAACTTGATTGATGATTCTAAAATTGATATTATTCATAGAAATCAATTGCAGAGAAAGGACTGGACAATAAAGAACTCAATGAGGACATTTTGAATACAGAAAAAGAGAAAAAACAGCAGCAATAAAACATTAAAATCATATTACTAAAATGTCATATAAAACACACATTTATAAATTTCGGCTTGAAACAAAACAGCCAGAAAAATAACGTCTCAGCAGACAGCACTATTCTTTCCTTTTTTCTCTCAACAGTGGCGACTACCAAAGAAATAATAATAATTATATATTATTTATTCATCATTCATTTATTCACATGATAATCATGTGACAATCACATGTATAAACAGCATTATAATGTAGTGTTAGTTTCATTGTTGTTCATATGCACCTTTTCTTGACTGTGATTCAAAGCTTTGAGTGTGACACTCTCTTCGTCTTCTTTCGCTACTTTTTGATATTTCTTCTCCCGATAGTAAGTGCCTTTCTTAAGAAGATACAGAGCTATGACATCAGTAACAGTGGTAGCCTAAGAAAGAAAGAAGAGAGAGAGAAAATGTAAAAATGAAATTAAAGGAAATTGTTCATTTCTTAGCGTACAATAGCCAGTAGAGCTATCGTGGATCCAAGGGCTAGTACCAGTGTTGTAAAAGAGAACTTTCTTCCCTATCATGTACAGAGAGAAGAGTAAGTGTATTAGTTAGTTAATGTCTGGTATTACTTCTCCTGTGACAACTATTTCAAACTTGATGCCGTATACTTTCCAAACATCTCTTACATCATCGCCATTTTGATCTCTGTAGTATCTAGGGTATCTATTAAAAGAGGAGTAATGATAATTGGGGTTTCCGTTAGCAAGTGCAAACCTGAAATTAAAACCATTAGATATCTGAGCGTTTGGATTATCAAGCCTATCAAATTAAAATAATAATATAAAATAAATGATGTATTTATGATAATCATCTGTCATCTCTTCGTTAGATGTACAGTACCTCCTTGCTGAATATTTAGGCACACAGTGGGTTGGACTCCTGTCGAGATTACAGTCCCAGGATATCTCAAGACCAACCACAGCTCCCTATACCAACAGGCCATAATATAAAACAATTATGAAATAATGTATGCAGCATCAAACAGCTGCTATTGTATGAAAATTAGCAGCGTTTATAGTGAAATATTTCTTTGTGACATACGTGTATTTTAAGATTATTTAAAGTATGAAATACACTATGTTCTGGGTCATTGGCTATAGACACGTGTCAACTAAATATTAACTAATAATAATAATAATAATAATAATAATAATAATAATAATAATAATGTGATCAAAAAACACGTGTCAAGGCTCTTTTATTGCAATACATGTCACTTGACCACATTAAAGTTGACAGCCTGTACTATATGAAGAATGTTCTTTTTTGTATAAATACATGAAATATGAACACCTACTAGTTCGATACACTTACCTTAGTTGCTAGTGATTCATAGTAGCCATCAGAACTATTAATCATGTCTACTATTTGTTTGAGAGAGAAAATAGGACAGAAGAGACCCATTTCAGAGTCAGGATCAAACTGACAGCCACTGAGGTATGACTTGTTATTAGCTCGCTCAGGAATATTGCGACTGTATAGGAGAGAGAAAGTTCATAAATTTTTAATTGTTTAAAAATTTGTAAAAAATCCAATTTTGATCGGAATTGACTCAAACTTTCTACACAACATAAGAACATGTATATGTATCAGATAAAGTTATAAAAATCACGATTTTTCAACTTTTCAATTTCAGCAAAATTTGGCCCGAGACCATGTACTATAGTACAGGGACTTTTACTTGATTTTGGAGCAACTTTAAAAATCCGTAAAAAATTCAATTTTGATTGGAATCGACTCAAACTTTCTACACAACATAAGAACATGTATATCCATCAGATAAAGTTATAAAAATCACGATTTTTCAACTTTTCATTTTTGGCAAAATTTGGCCCGAGACCATGTACTATAGTACAGGGACTTTTACTTGATTTTGGAGCAACTTTAAAAATCCGTAAAAAATTCAATTTTGATTGGAATCGACTCAAACTTTCTACACAACATAAGAACATGTATATCCATCAGATAAAGTTATAAAAATCACGATTTTTCAACTTTTCATTTTTGGCAAAATTTGGCCCGAGACCATGTACTATAGTACAGGGACTTTTACTCGATTTTGGAGCAACTTTAAAAATTTGTAAAAAATTCAATTTTGATTGGAATCGACTCAAACTTTCTACACAACATAAGAACATGTATATCCATCAGATAAAGTTATAAAAATCACGATTTTTCAACTTTTCATTTTTGGCAAAATTTGGCCCGAGACCATGTACTATAGTACAGGGACTTTTACTCGATTTTGGAGCAACTTTAAAAATTTGTAAAAAATTCAATTTTGATTGGAATTGACTCAAACTTTCTACACAACATAAGAACATGTATATCCATCAGATAAAGTTATAAAAATCACGATTTTTCAACTTTTCATTTTTGGCAAAATTTGGCCCGAGACCATGTACTATAGTACAGGGACTTTTACTCGATTTTGGAGCAACTTTAAAAATTTGTAAAAAATTCAATTTTGATTGGAATTGACTCAAACTTTCTACACAACATAAGAACATGTATATCCATCAGATAAAGTTATAAAAATCACGATTTTTCAACTTTTCATTTTTGGCAAAATTTGGCCCGAGACCATGTACTATAGTACAGGGACTTTTACTCGATTTTGGAGCAACTTTAAAAATTTGTAAAAAATTCAATTTTGATCAGAATCGACTCAAACTTTCTACACAACATAAGAACATGCATATGTATGAGATAAAAGATTAACTATCTTTTTTCCTATTACTTACACACGATAGCTGCTGTCAAGTTTAGGAAAAGATATAGAGTTCTTTACAAGGACCGTGAAATCCTTGGTATCAATAATTGGTCCTTCGTCACTAATAAAAAAGAGAGAGAGGAAAAAATAATTATTATGACACAATATGATCTTTATTTCAACTTACGTTAAAGTATCATTTTCATCTTCAACCGGACACCAGCCCCTAATCTGACATGTTTCATTGAAACCGGTACATTCACCAGTTGTCACACCTATTAATGTACAATTATAATTATCAGTCACTATCACTTTCTCTCTCTCTCTCTTTCTCTTACTTCCCCCTCCCTCCCTTCCTCCCTCCCCCCCTCTCTCTCTCTTTCATACCATTTCCAGTTCTATAAATAATTCCTGGTGGACAGCTATCATTAGTTAGACATACAGCATCAGGGATAGTAGATAACTAAAAATGTAACATAAATATACTAAACACCTGTTTCTCTCCCTCCTCCTCCTCCTCTACTCAGAATATTATATGTTTATACTTACTTCCGGACACACGCCATACTTCTGGTTACACGTTGCCCACAAGTTGGTAGTAACGAAGAAACTGTTTGGCTCCTAATAGAAGTGATAGGATGAGATCACAGTTAATTATTATTGTTGTTGTCATTGTTGTTATTATTATTATTGTTGTTGTTATTGTTATTATTATTATTATTACATAGGAACCGAAAACAACGTCTCTAATAATATTATCATCATTATCTCATTTTGGGGAGCCAATTAGTTGTGTTTTGGGCTAAAAGAAGGCACTTTATAAAAAAGAGGGTGCTTCCTCCAATTATATAATAGTTTCTTTAGTTTCAGTTCTTATTTGAACAACATTCTTTTTTAATTACTTCAGCTTTACACTGATACAGGAGCATATTCATAGAAAATTAATGTAGTAATCTCGTTATGAAGGAATCTGTTTGAAGTAGTTCCACTCCAAGAAAAGTTATTATATGGTTCAACGCAAACAAGCACTTTCTTCAGTTACAGTCAAAGTAGCAGTCGTGATTATAGTTTGTTAAACAAACGTCTTTTGTGGATTTTAAGAATTCAAAACTGATAAAATTCACGCAATGATGATATGAAAACTGCTTTGAGTAATAACACAGCAAGATTGGAGAAGACAAAAAAACATTTTAATCTTAATGAGGCATGGCCAGTATAAAAATATATTTATTATTATTATTATTATTATCATTATTATTATTATTATTATTATTATTATTATTATTATTATTATTATTATCATTATTATTTACTTGAGCTGGTACAATCAAGTCCACATGATCCAGTATAGGCCATTCATTGCAGTCAGTCATGAATTGTCTCGTGGCATTAAGCACCGATACACCTTTGACCTTTGTGGTCACAACGCTCTGAACCGGCTCCTTATCCTGGGCACCATTCTCCCACACGATACCGTAACTAAAAATAGTAACAGAGTTTTTAAAAATAGTAACACAGTCATTGCTATTAATAACACGTGAATGAATGATTCATTGTAAGCATTAACCACCCACTCCATTGAACAATACAACACTACAGCAATCCTCCAGCTAATATGATTGCTAATTTCCTTCCCATGCTAAAAACTAAAGCTACAGGAACACTTTGCATGCCTCCATTGTCCCTCCCTCTCTCCCTCCTTACCCAATAATATAGCCTACAATAGCCAGTTGTACTAGGCGGTTGAGGAGACCCACTTTCTTGTTCCTTATGTGCACAAATTTTGGTGTATCATATTCGAAAAGAACAGAGACTGTTGTAGAGCCGAGCCAGCGACAAGCAGAGGCGGCAGACATTTTGTCCAGCCAAGGTCAGCAGGAAAGGGACTGGTGTTTGGGTGGGGTTAGAAAGTATGGGATAAAACCACTTCCTTCTTAAAGTCTAGCTGTGAATTAATCACTCTTGTGTCTTTTGCAGACGACAAGAGCAAGTTAATAATTATAGCAATTCCTGTGTTTATAGTTCTCCTCTTGAAAGATTCTCCTCGCCATTAACCCATCTGTTCTCCTCTGCATCCCTGGGTGATCCTTCTTTTCCAACTCTTTCGGCTGGAGCGAGCTAGAGTTTCTGAAGCCGCCGAGTCCCTTGTTTGCTGCTCAAGTTAAAGAGGTAGGTAGGGCTTTAGTTGATAAACTTGTAAAAAAGAAAATGCAACCGAAAGCTAGCAGAAAAAAGAAAGAAAGAGAGAGAGAATAAGAAATATTCTTTGTTTGCTTTTTTTACTTGTAAAAGCACCAAAAGTCCAGGTAGCATCAAAACTTTTAATAAAGAGATACATGAATGGAGAAGCTGCATGTCATGTCTCCCTCTATTTTATTAGGGCATTTCACAATGTCTTACGATCTTATAAAAGTATCAAAGAAACCTGGTGAAAGTCTAGGGCTGGGATTCAACAAGAACTCCGAGAGACAGAACAAAGTGTATGCCATTCTTGAGGGAACAGCACTACAGAGGTCTGGTGAAGTGAGGCCTGGTGACCTAATTGTTGAAGTTAATGGAGTTGATGTGTCTGGATATACTTCCAGTCAACTTATAGATATCATATCCACTCTCCAGGATAAGAGTGAAGTATCGCTAAAGGTAAATGACACACATACATATACACACACATGGTATCGACTGTACATATTTTGTGATGTTTTTACTGTATATGTACATGGACATTTCAACATTTGTAATGTTATAGATACAAGTTGGCCATGTTGATTTTCTTCGAAATATCAATCTCATAATCATCATTATTATTATGATGATTATTGTTGTTACATTTATTATTATTATTACCGTAACGTCTTCCTCTTATATACTTTCCTTTTCCTCTTTCTCTCTCCCCCTCTCTCTCAGATTCTCAGACCAGATGGCTCCCTGAGTAACGGTGGAACCCCAGCTGTGAGTATTGACCACCCAAACAACGAAACTCCTGCACCAGCTACCACTTCTCGTCCTAACCAGAGACAGAGACGTAAAGGCGGGCCTCTTCCACAGATCACAGAGACATTGGACGACGGTGGTAAACCGGGCGGACTACTTCAAGTGAAGGATCACTTTGCAAGTGGTAAGAGACACTCCCTCACTCCGGAGTCCTCGAGAAGGGAAATGGTACCGCTACAGCCATCAAAGAGTTTAGATTTGGGTGCGCTGCCAACTTGGAGGAACAAGACCTTCATTACTCTTAATAACTATGTGACTGGCGAACAGCAGACGGACAGACTCCATACCCAGTCCAAGGCAGTGGTGAGTGGATTATTACCTACATATATGCAGCATACCCTGGAACATACCCTGGACTTTGTAACCTGTTAATTGCCAAAATATTTGACATAACTTAGCTGGGTTTGCCCCTATTGTTAATAGCCTATTAGTAGCTCTTTTGTTACCACAACTTAGAAAATGATTATATGCATATTATAAATGCTGTACAACATTATAGTAGATTCACTATACTACAATTAACTAATCAACACATGGGCATGATGGACACACTACATTGGACACACTACATCGAACTCTGCATTGCATAATGTTATGCAGTGATTCTTTCCACTATTACATGTCAGTATATAACTGTGCATGTTGTATTTTCGATAGCCTAAACAAACTGGATGTCATCCTTCTCATTGCGTTGGCTCAATAATTTGGCCTAAGGAGCACCCAAGGTCCAGGCCTTATGGGCCTCCAAGACCAAAGGAAGAGATGAAAGAATTGGCTAAGGAGTACATCAAGATTTATTATGATTCTTTAAAATTGTGAGTAATTTGTAGAGTGAGTTAGAGAGAGAGAGTGTAGGAGACCAGAGGAGGAGAGAGGGAGAATAGGGGACAGTTACTGTGTGTGTTTGCCCTGTTGTTTTTGTTATAATATCATAACACATGCCAAAATGAGGTTTCTGGGAATATTAAGGGTTTCTCTTTCTCTTCTCTCTCTCTCTCTCTCCCTTTCTTTCTCTCAGTGCACTAAGTGATGATTATGAACAAAAGCTCCAATCAAGAACACTTCAAGTTTGCCAAGAAATAGAAGAGAAAGGTCACTATAACTTGACTTACGAGGAGCTCACCTACGGGGCACGTTTGGCATGGAGGAACGCCCCTCGCTGTGTCAATAGGATAATATGGCGACAGCTTGAGGTAACCATGGAGACACGTCATTGTCATGGCAACTTGCATGTGTGGGCGGGCAAATGAAAATGGGACTAGTTAGTTTAAATGAACATTATAGAGTACAAATGAGTAGTGTAATTCCAATGAAATTGCATGTACATGTACATGTTTGTGTGTGGGAGTATCTCTTTCCCTCCCTCCCTCTCTCTCTCTCTCTCTCTCTCTCTCTCTTTTCCCTTCCTTCTGACTGGTCATAAATATTTAAAATATTTTCTAATTGTTTCTATGTTGATGATTTCTTAGAAAAATTAACAAACTGGATCATAACAAGTACAATTTCCCTGAACTAACTTCTAGAAAATTGAACTTGCATGTATAATATTGCAAACTATTGCATAAAAGCAGTTGTAAATTCATTACATGCGTGTACATGTATCGGTACTTTAATTTTGTGTTCATACGCGTGTAGTGCCTGTACTGTCTGGCTGTATGTTGCTAATGTGATCTCATGCCAATTGCTCACACCACATATTTGCAATAATTGAGTGAAACCTTCTGAGGTATGGGATTAATCAAACTACTCCGGCACACACCCACTCTCCTGTTTACTCATAAATACTCATTTACATCTTCAAATTAACCACCTGCTTGTCTACATGTACATGTACATGAACATGAACATGTAGATTATAAGGAGTAAAAGAAGAGAGAGAGGGAGGGAGGAAGAGAAATGATGCTATAGTGGATAATGATACTCATACACTAATTGTCTGTTAATTCTATTGAGAATTAATCACATGCTACATAAGAGAGGAGAGGAGGGGAAGGAAGAGATGTGAGATATTTGTAAAGGTAATTAGAAAGAAATCATAGTAGAATATGATTTCATGGAGTAACAATTTCCTGTAAGGAAGATCCTTCATAGTAACTAGTTATAGATGTATTGTTTAACATTCCCTTTGTGAGGCAAGTAAAACATATATTGATTGTATTACTTGACAGCTATAGTGCTGCACAGTTACCACAAAAATGTAATAGCCCACTTTACTATACTGCTCTCTCTCTCTCTCTCTCTCTCAGGTACTTGATGCAAGGGAAGTAGATTCAGCTAAAGAAATGTTTGAGGCACTGTGTGATCATCTCCGCTATGCCACAAACCAAGGATCAATTAGGTAAAGATATACATGTACATATACATGTACTTTATTTTAATTTCTCTTAGGTCAACCATTACAGTATTTAGACATCGCACGAGAGCCAACTCAGACTTTAGAGTCTGGAACTCTCAGCTCATCAGATATGCCGGCTACAAGCAACAGGATGGTTCTATAATTGGAGACCCTGACAGCGTTGAGTTCACAGAGGTTCGTGAAACCTTTAAAAGTTATACATCATGCATGGAAATGTTACATTAAATACACTTTTGAATGCTGGTTGCCATTCATTCATAAGAGGCTCCAGTTGTAATGTCAATTAGACATTATAAACCTCACATTAACTGATTGTCATTACTTATAAATATATCCAGGTTTGTCGCAAGCTGGGCTGGAGTCCCCCTAACAATAAACCCGGGATGTTTGACGTGTTGCCGCTGGTTCTTCAAGCAAACGGCGAACCACCTGAAATGTTCACGATCCCACCAGAACTGATAATGGAGGTCGATATTGTCCACCCAGAGTGAGTTTAAAAGATACTTCATCTTTAAAGGTCCTTATTTTGTATGTTGTCTATTTTAAAGCTAGTTTTAAACTATTTATAATTATAAACTATTTATGGCTTAATAGTTATTTGATCTACATGTACGCGGTCTCATTCATACTTTTCAATGGGGGTATTAGCTGATAGCTACAAGATATGTATCATTGTAATTGAATATACTTTAAAATTAGATTATAGATACTTCTTCCTCTCTCTCCCTCTCTCTCTCTTCCTCCATTCCCTGCCCTTGTTACTATTTCTTGCTAATTCAATTATTGGAAGCTATGACGATAGTTTGTTGTAGATGTAATATTTATGACTTTATGGAATGTACCAGTTACAAACAAACTCACAGTATTTTCCTTATGTGTCACTATTTTATTGTTTTGATTACAACTCAACATAATATTTGCAATAACTTGATAAGTGTTTATAAACTGGTGCCCACACCACCTGTCCTTAATACAGAGGTGTCCTCATTTCAGAGGTACTTTTGTATAGGCTTGTACCGATTGGGACCTTACAAAATAAGGTAGACATTCTGCTTTCCCAGCAGCTACAGAATCTAGGAGGCTAAGCCTCTTAATGTTTTACATTCTTTCTAGTTACATAGCTCATACTGTGTCTTGTTTGTTCTCCATGTAATTCAGTTATTAAATGTGTGCGTGCAGTGTCCTGCCAGCCTAATGACATCAATACTTCTTGTAACTAAATTATTGATATACTTAAATCCCAGAGTTAACTGCTATAAAGAAATCAATAAATAAATAAACAAATACCTAAGAGAGAGATGTTTTTATTATTTATTTATTCAATGAACTGTCTTTATACTATCAAAAACTGCATGACACACACTTTAATTGTAAAAGATCACAATTCCCATGTCCTTTCTCCTCAGGTACAAGTGGTTCAAGGATCTCAAGCTGAAGTGGTACGCTGTTCCTGGCGTCTCCAATATCCTCCTTGATATTGGAGGGCTTGAATTTACAGGTGCTCCTTTTAACGGGTGGTACATGAGCACTGAGATAGCTGCGAGGAATTTCAGCGATGAATATCGTTACAATTTGCTAAAGGTTAATGAATAGACTATGTATATTGAACTTTTAATTGTTTAAACTAATTAATATTAGTATCGCTATTCATAGTGTAACAGATATCATATCATTATCATCATTACCATTATTATTATTATTATTATTATTTATTTTTATTATTTTTATCAGCCTGTTGCTGAGAGGATGGGTCTGAACACATCAACCTACAAGTTATGGAAGGACAGGGCCCTTGTTGAACTTAACGTAGCTGTATTACATAGTTACCAGGTACGTACATACATGCGCATGATCACAAAATTAGATCAATATACATGTACATGTGCTTATAATTATTAATATTATTGTGCTGTGAGTATAAAAATCTGTCTTCTTGTCACAGTCTGCTGGAGTTTCAATTGTTGATCACCATACTGCTACCGACGGGTTCTCAGGGTTTTTCAAGTCAGAGGTTAGAGGGTTTTATTTGACTACGCCCACTAATTAATAATTTTTAGAGTGCATCTCGTGGAGGGTGCCCGGCAGATTGGGTGTGGCTAGTCCCGCCCATTTCTGGCAGCGTGTCTAAACTATTCCATCAAGAAATGTTGCTGTATTATCTGACACCAGCTTATGAGTATCAGGTAATGATCACATGACATGTACATGATGTCATGTGATGTCACGCGATGTCATGGTATTCTATTTAGGAACCTGCTTATAAATATTATCACTTGCCCGGGGATATGCCAAAACTCAATACTGGAAGGACTTTCAAGGCTCTTGCAACGTAATATAATAATAATAAATAATAATCTTTATAATTATGATCTTTTAAATTTATAATCTCTCTCTCTTCCCGGCAGTATGGTCCTTGATGCCACCAGAATGATGAGGAATGTTAAAAAGAAGCGTATCAAAGCCACAGTGCTCTACGCCACTGAGACCGGCCGATCCAAGAACTACGCCAACATAGTTAAAACCCTTTTCGACCGAACCTTCAACTGCTCCGTTTATTGCATGGACGAGTACAACAGAGCCAATCTTGAGCATGAGCAGCTGGTTCTCATCGTTACGAGCACTTTTGGTAGTGGGGACCCACCTGCTAATGGAGAGGTAAGAGTGCTAACTTGTCTGACCTGTTTCTAATTCCGGTTTGTTTTTTGTAGCCGTTTGGGCGCTATTTGTTGGATTTGCAGTCAGGACGAATTATTGGGTAACAATAATAATAATAATAATAATAATAATAATAATAATAATAATTTAATTTTGCTATATACAAGTTTGTTTGCAGTTGCACATGTATTTTTATATTAAATTTCTTTTTATTATTTATTTATTCATTTATTTATTACACAGTGCCGGAGGTGGTACAGGGACCCTCCCCTCAAGGCGGAACAGGGTTAGCGTTGCTACAAGACCATCCCCAGAGATGTTAGCTAAAGCAAGGACAGACATGATGCAGCCACTCTCTCAAGTCAAGTTAGTACAGCCAAAAAATGGCTCCAAAATCACCCCAAATTTTTATTACATTTTCTGATACATATTGATGTACTTATGCTGTGTAGAAAGTTTGAGCCGATTCCGACTTCAATTTTTAAAGTTATGACCACTTTTAAGAAAATGTCAAAATTCTGAAAATTTCCCTGTACTATATTCCCCTCTCGACAGTCGACCTTCGCACCAACTGTCTGATTGTTACTCTTTCCCCCCGCACATTTTGCCCACATAAGTACTTAGATACGACCAACCCCAGGTTGGTGGTTAGTCGCTTGTGGTGCCTTCGTGGTTTGACTGAACACAAAGCAGCTATCTGCCCTGGGCCCGATCAGTGCCCTACCATGCGGGGGTAAATTATCTTATACAGCAACACACTACTTAAATAGCTTTCGTCGAAAACCAGATATCGCCAAGTTCGATTGGCCTTTCACCACTTACCACAGGTCTTCCGAGATTTTTGCCACAACCACCGGTGCGTCCCTCCATCTTGCCTTGCGACAAGTTTCAGACTGCCCATGATTAGATCACTTGGTTTCGGGTCGTATTTGACTCGCGCCTCGCCTGGCTCGCTTTCGCTACACCTCCGTCCATCGACTTAAGTTTGCCAAATATTTTACTCGCGAACCCATTATACAAAAGGTACAATGACTACATCTGCTCTATTGTGCAATAAATTTCCGTTTTCACCATTCTTTCAGCCTTCCCTCACGGTACTTCCTCTCTCGGTGCATTACTTTTCGCGATGTTGGATGTCTGGTTCACCCTTCTTCAAATTATTCTACTCCACGCATACGCGGGTCTAATCATAGGTTACTAAGTAATTCACGGGCCTGTTACCCTCTACGGTTTAACTTACTTTGCCCCCTTGCTCCGCTTTCGCTCGCCACTACTCACGGCATCTCGCTTGATTTTTCCCTTCTGGTACTAAGATGTTTCAATTCCCAGAAGCTCGGGCCCATACGTGCCGGCTTTTGCCAGCTGGGATTAGTCAACTTCCCCTCCCAATCCTCTTGATTTCGCCCATTGCATAATGCCCTCCCAATATTAATACTCACGGCATGCTATAATGAAAATATGCTACCGCCCCCGATGTCGTAAAAAGTGCCCCACATGCCCCCACACATGACCATGGACTCGGGTTCACTAAATGATACGGATGATATGCCACCGACGTATAGCCCATGGTTTTTTCTAAAAAATGGCTCCGAAATCACCCCCCATTTTTATTACATTTTCTGATACATATTGATGTACTTATGCTGTGTAGAAAGTTTGAGCCGATTCCGACTTCAATTTTTCAAGTTATAGCCATTTTTAAAAAACGTCAAAATTCTGAAAAAATCCCTGTACTATAGCCCATGGTTTTTTCCAAAAAATGGCTCCGAAATCACCCCCAATTTTTATTACATTTTTTGATACATATGGATGTACTTATGCTATGTAGAAAGTTTAAGCCGATTCCAACTTCAATTTTTCGAGTTATGACTATTTTTTGAAGTGCCAATACATTTTCTGTTGTATTATTAAACGCCTTTCTCTCTCTTCCTTATAAGGTATGCTGTATTTGGATTGGGGTCCCGTGCTTATCCTAACTTCTGTGCTTTTGCTCACACAATTGACAACCTCTTCCTTTCTCTCGGGGCCGAACAGGCCTATCCTTGTGGGGAGGGAGACGAACTCTGTGGTCAAGAGGAGAGCTTCCAGAGCTGGCTGAGAGAGTGTTACTTGGTACGTATAAACCACGCCCATTAATTACCTTCTCCTCCTATGCAGAGATCTTGCGAAGTGTACAAGCTTGAGCCGAGATTAGAAGGAAGTGATTGCACTGTCGTCAAGTCCGAATACAAGAAAGACTTTTTTAGAATTTCTTCATTTACTGAACCTGTCCCAACCAAAGACATTTGCCGAGGTAAGGAAAAACCCAAGTATTAAATATTGTATTTTCCATTCTTGTGTCTTTTTATATTATTTCCTAATTTCTAGATTTGTCTCACGTTCACAAGAAGAAGATTTATGCTGGTACTTTAGTGTCAAGAGCTAAACTGCAGTCATCACAATCTGAGTAATAGCACAGACCTCTCTCTCCCCCCCCTCTCTCTCTCTTTCATTCTCCTATTCTCCAATGTTATTATAATCCCTCTCTCTCTCCCTCTAAAGGCGTAATACAATACTAGTGGTCATAAAGCCTCAGAATCACATGAATTACCAGCCTGGAGACCACATTGCCATTTATCCTCAGAACAATCCCAGCCTGGTACGACAGCTGCTAGAGAGACTCCCCCTCACCTCCGCAATAGATGAACCAATCATCATTGAGTCCCAATATGAAGCTGAAGGTAACAACTATTTATAACTATTAGCGAGTATCTGGTATTATGGATTTTTGTATGACATTTCCACATGATAATAATATTTTTTAATGTTATTTCAGGTGGCATTAAATGGAATAAGGAGAGGAGGTTACCATTTCCTGTTACTTTGCAAGAAGCCTTCATGTACTATCTTGACATTACCACTCCACCTACACCACAGCTGCTCCAACAATTTCAAAAAATGGTATAATAAAGCAGAAGACACTTTCTTATACTCTCTTCTTAACTTTCTCCTTCTCTTGTAGGCCACTCGAAAGTTGGAGCAGAATTTCCTCGAGGAGCTGGGGAAAGGAGGTGACGTTTACGAGGACTGGAAGTATGAGAGGTTTCCTAACCTTCTGGAAGTGATGGACCAATTCCATTCGCTTAAACTTGACGTGCCATTTTTACTCCAAAACCTGCCACTGCTTCAATGCGTAAGGAATAAAGAAAGAGAATCATTTATTAATTTATTTTATTTGTTTAATTAATTTATTATTTTAGCGTTACTACTCCATCAGTTCATCCCCTAACGCTCATCCAAATGAGATTCATGCCACCATTGCCGTGGTAACCTTCAGGAAGAGAGGAGGACAGGGACCACGTCACTATGGGGTCTGTTCCACTTGGCTCAACAAGATGGAGCCGGGATCAGAATCCATTGTACCTTTTGTGATCAGAAGGTAAAGATTATGTATATTAACTGATACTATAGGTCATATTGTTTAATAAAGGAATAAACTGCATTAATATTTAGTACCCAAAACATGGTACACATGTACACATTGATTCTTAATTATTACAATTTAGGACTAATTCATTTCATATGCCAGAGGACTCTCATGCTCCTATCATAATGGTCGGCCCTGGTACTGGGATAGCTCCTTTTAGAGGATTCTGGCAGGAAAGGATGTACCAGCGAAGCGAAGAACTCAAGAAGCAGCTTCTCTCTAAAGCAGTTCCGGCCCGAGCTGCTCGTGTCCCTCGCAATCAAAAAGGAGGCAGGGCAGTGATCCCAGACACGCCCGCTAACAAGATAAGCATTGGAGGGGGAGGGATGGGGCAGGCTGGTAGGAGGGGCTTTGTATCCACGGTAACGGCCCCAGTAATTAAGCTACTTGATGTTGATTCTCGACCAACTCAAGCCCCGGTCTCTGATATTGATGATACGGAGAGCAGCAGCGAGAGTGAGAGTTCGGATGAGGAAGTAAAACGAGACAAACAAGTTCAGTTTAAAGTACCCAAAACCTCCGGCACTTTTAAACTAAGGCGCTCGGCCTCAGATGAGTTCCAAAGGAAGGATCTTGCTAGTCTTGTGGCCGCTAGAGACAGCCACTGGGGAGACATGACCCTGTATTTCGGTTGTCGCCGTAACGACACAGATTACATATACAGAGAAGAGATTAAGAGAGCACAGCTGACGGGGGCAATGAATAACGTTCATGTAGCTTTCTCCAGGGAAGGGCCGCAAAAAGTAAGCACTACTAATTAATAATAATAATAATAATAATAATAATAATAATGATAATAATAATAATGATAGTAATAATAATAATAATAATGATAATAATAATAATGATAGTAATAATAATAATAATAATAATAATAATGATAATAATAATAATAATAATAATAATAATAATAATAATAGATACAACAAGCGTTAATTTACATGTGTTCCGTCAAATTGTTACATGTACATATACATATAGTGATAATAGTGCTAATCATGATCTGTCATATACAGTACTAATATTCAATTATTGCCTCCCTCCTCCTCTCCCTCTTAGACTTATGTCCAACATTTATTGAAGAAGAATGCGGACACCATAGTCCAGCAGCTGATAGAGGAGAGGGGACACTTTTATGTGTGTGGGGACGTTTCCATGGCAGCAGACGTGGGACGTACCCTTCAGAATATATTTGAGGAGAACGCTGCAATGTCTAGTGATGAAGCGAGACAGTTAATAGAATCAATGAAAGTAATAATAATAATAATAATTAATAATAATAATAATAATAATAATAATACACTCATCTCTATAGGATAATGGCTATTATCATGAAGACATCTTTGGTGTTACTCTGAAGACTGCTGAAGTTACAAGTCGTGTCAGAAATGCAGCCAAAAAGTGAGTGCCAGTCACATGATAATCACATGACCATGTCCTCTGTTTCTAGAGCATGGAGGATACTCGTTAGTGCTGCTGATCATAGCCCCATCACTCCGATGTCTGCTCTATCCAGCAGAGCACCCATCACACCAACCACTGTAAGATATTATCAGTACAGACAGTAATACAGTACAGTACTTGCAGCAAAGATTGAAGGGCGGTACATCCTAGTTGGGATAAGCCTAGCTCCCATCAATACAGAATTAATATAACTTTATGAACAACTTAAGAGTAGTTGTAACTTTTGCTCACAAAGTTGTTTCTCTACATGTACACAGTGCCTTGTTTGTTTATTATTGTTTATTGTTTGTTTGTATTTATTGTAGCCTGGATTGCTTGATACCCCTCAAGACGGAACCCTTCGTTTGGGTGGAAACCGTTTCTCCAAACGCCCGACAGTGACGGTCCTCATTCCAACGCCCACGCAGGCTAACGAGCCTACATCACCTGGCAACAGAACGTATGTTGACAAGGCAACGGAGAAAGAGGAAAGGAGGAGGAGGAGGAGAGAGGAAAGGGAGAGGACGGAGGACAAAGAGAAAAAGGAGCGAAAGAAGATGAAGAAAACCTTGGAGAGGCTTCCGTATGAGTACCCAGTCTTGATGGAGCCTCCGTCTCCACCTCCAATGTCCCCGAATGTTTTTAGAAGGAGCAAAACCAGTTTTTCTAGTCCTCCCCCCTCTCCCTCTGTAGCTGGTGGCTTCGATTATTATTTATAAGGAGGAGACAAAACAGAATTAATAATTAGTTAATAACTTCTCATAGCTACCCCCTTAGCTGCTTATTATTACATATTATAGTTATGGTTAGCCAAGCCTTTTTTATTTTGATAAACGCATGAAGTTTCTAAATAAAGCCCACCAGCCAACACTCCTCCACCTCCTCCTCCTCGAGTTTTGTTTGTTCGGTTGCCATGGCGATATGTTTATTCATTTGAGGTGTGAATTATCGGGAATGTGTTGGTTTACTTGTTTATTAATAATTATTAAAAACTTTTAATTGATTATCACAACTTGTTGATATTGTGACTATGTGTTGTGTCTTTCCTTCTCTATCCCTACCTGCAGGTCGTTCCCAAGCATCTTTGGAAAGTAAACAAAAGCACAAACAATAAAATGAATGCACATACATAAATATATGTACATATGATGTATCTTTTTATCCTCTCCTTTCTCCCTCTTTCTCTTTCTCTTTCTCTTTCTCTCTCTCCCTCTCTCTCTCTCTCCTTCTCCCCCCCTCTCTCTCTCCTTCTCTCTCCTTCTCCCCCCCCTCTCTCTCTCTTCTTTCTCTCCCTCTCTCTCTCTTTCTCTCCCTCCCTCTCTCTCTCTTTCTCTCCCTCTCTCTCTCTTTCTCTCTCCTTCTCTCTCCCTCCCTCTCTCTCCCTCTCTCTTTCTACTCCTAACAGACAATCCTTAGGTTCTTCTGGTATGAAGAAGTTAGGGGGAGGTCCTTCTGGTTACAGATCACACCTGACTGCTACATCATTCAATGAGGAAGATGAAGAGAAAGAGAGCGGAGTGACGCTCAACATAACTGAGATCACTGGTGACACCCTAACTACCACTAATATCCTGGGTTCTACGTCTCCAAAAACCCTAAAAGTGCCTCCGCCCTCATTTGAACAGCCACCTCCGCCAAATCTCGGTCCAAAGTCACGCCCAACTTCCGTCCAGTTGAGAGATAACCAAGATGGCGGAAAGAGGCGAGCCATTCGTAAGATCAGGAGTAATTCGATGGTTCAAACTGACGTCTAATGGCTCCGCCCAAAATGAACTGGATATTAACTAGTTATTATTGAAACAGATTCCTTAACTGTCAAAATTTATTATTATTATTATTATTATTATTATTATTATTATTATTATTATTATTATTATTATTATTATTATTATTTTAGCTTAGTTTTGTTATTATTATTATTCCCCACGTCCCTTTCATTTTCTATGCCCTCCTATACATTCAATTGACATTTAATTATTATTATTATTATTATTGATGCTAATTAAAATTTTGCTGTTATTTATTATTATTTTTCATTAGCAAAAATTTAAACACTTCATTGATATTCACGAAAGGGCGGGGCAATATAATATTCATTATGTCTATTTGCACAACCCATATGTGTATTGCACAATCCATAGAGACAAATATTCACAGCTGCTATTGCACAATCATTACTAAGCAGTCACTAACAGAAAACATATAAAGAGAACAATACGTAAACTTTCGTAATATAACAGTCGATAATGGCCACAGCAAGTCCTGATGTTGAAACTGAGGTTGAATCTTCACCTACAACCTTCTCTTTAAAGTCTGGTCCTACTTTCTCTAAATATGAGAAGATGACGGAGGGAACTCGGCTATTTGCAGGGCCAGAGATAGGTCGTATCAAGGAATGGGTTGCCATGGAGAAGATACATGGGGCAAACCTCTCACTGACTGTATGGAGTAAAGGAGGAGAGAAGAAGAGAGAGGGGGAGGGAGGGAAGAGACAAGACGTGGGTGTCAAGATTGCTCGGAGGAATGATTATCTTAAAGATGGTGAACAGTTCTTTGGTCTTGACAGGCAGCCGGAACTATTGATGGCACTTCACACGTCAGCAGTGAAACTGTGGGATTTAATGAATGATGACGAGACCACACCCACACCACAATCAATTACCATATATGGAGAACTTTTCGGAGGTAAGGAAAGTTGCTTTAATTAAGGGTATTTTGTCAAAAATGAAAAGTAGAAAATTCTCCATTAAAAATTTTTTTGATGCATATACATGTTCTTATGTTGCATAGAAAGTTTGAGCTGATTCCGATCAAGTGTATCAATAGGTATTGTATTTGTATTTTAAAGTAATAGTACACCATCAAATATGATAAGATACTACTGTATGTATGTACACATGTCACATGATTATCACATGACTTTAGGTTACTACCCTCATCCCTCAATCCCTCCATTACCAAACATGATTAGCATTCAAAAGGAAGTGGCCTACTCTCCTGATCTTAAATTCTGTTCCTTTGACATAGCGGTGAACAATGGAAATGACAAAAGTAAGCAATAAAAATTAATGCATAGCAGAAAAAAATTGTGGCCCGAAAATTTTAGTAAATTTGAAAATTCATGGAATCTGCAAAATTGAATAAATGTGGCTACACAAAAAGGTCAAAAAATAGAAAATTGCAAAAAATTATGCCACAAAATATCATGCTATACACTATACAGTACCATATATGGTAACCTATTCCTCCTTCCCGCCCCCTCATTAGATTACATGAATTACGATGATGCAATGTCCCTGTTTGAGGGGGCGGGGTTCATGTACTCCCGCCCACTCATAACCGGAACGATGGAAGAGGTTTTCAATTATGAGCTTGGTTTCCCGAGCACCATCCCAGCAATATTTGGCCTGCCCCCTATAGACGGAAACCTTGCAGAGGGAATCGTCATAAAACCTTTAAAAGACTCTACCCTCATCACGCGTAAAGGTCCTAAACGACTCATCTTCAAACGAAAAATTGAAAAGTTTTCCGAAAGAAGGGCACTACCAAGACCAGAGAACCACTTGACAAGTACGAGAGAAGACGAGAAATGGAAAGGAACGAAAGGAGACGAGATCAAATATGAAATAACAGCTTTAATAACTGATCAAAGAGTTCTTAATGCTATTACTAAGATTGGTCAGCCTGTGACTAAGGGAGAGTGGGAGAAGATTAAGACTGAACTGGTAGCTGATGTAAGAGATACTCTGAAGGAAGAGAATGAAGAGCTCATTAAAGATTGTGATGATGTATTAATGATGAATGAAATAAAGAAACAATGTGGTATATTCATACAGCAATACAAGAAAAGGGTTTAGTCTATATTTTTATTATTTTTATTAGCCAAAGACAAATTTTTAACTGCTATTGCACAGTTTATTTAATTTTTAATAGTTTTAATCGAACACTGATTAATTTTTATAAAATTCCTTTCCAATGTACAAGTATATTAAATTTTGTTGAAGGAAAAAGATTCTATTCACCTCTAGACTACTACTTGTGGTTGCTATGGTGAATGAAAATGAATTCAGGGCTTACTATAGAGTATTATAGAGGATAATAGGATATGCGTGCTAAGTATATTCATTGCAAAATAAATGTATTCATTGCATACCGTAATAACTTTCAAGAAAAAAAATTAGTTCGTTGGACGTCAACTTTGAACTTTCCATTGGCAGCAATGGAGAAATGATAGAAAAAGGCTTGGTACCAGGAAACCGTTCTGTATTTATTGATAGCAATCTTTCAGGTGACTACCAGACCCCATTAGATCCTCAGGATGGTTTCTAAGCTTCCGAAAAAGGCCTCAAGAAGGTAGCAAGGCAAGAAAATGTGTTTTCCCCCATTGAACTCTAATAAACTTGACGTCCAACATGGCGGCCAATTTGCTGTGTGGGTTGGATATACGGTAC